CAACACTATAGAATGAGAATGAGCAGAACACGCTCTCTCATACAAAGTCGCCCTGCGTTCAGAGTGTACATCCATTTGATTGAAGCTTATCATAAGAGGGGTCTGTGCCTTATCTGTATTCTACACATGCGGCAAAGCTACTCTGCCATTGTTTCCCTGAGAGGCTGGACAGAGGGGGAGAGAGGAGTTTCATGGGTTCGAGCATGTTGTACAAACACAAAAAGTGTTTCTATTTTATCACTTTCTATGGCCAGATCTGAACCAGGCCAAGCCAAGCCAATCTGTTTCATGTCAGTGAGGGACTGAATACTACACTAACAAGATCCTGCAAATCCTCTGCCATGGGCTGCAGAACAACTGTTTTCTCTATAATGTGTAATTTAATTTATTCAGTCTTGATGGGAAGATGGGAAATGATCGCACACTCATACAAACACACATACGTACACACACACACACACACACACACACACAGCGCATCCTTTTAGCAACTTATTTACATGCACTGCAGACACACGCATAATTTTGCTCACACCCATATAATAAGATATAGTAAATGACATCCATCTCCAGCATGCACAGACACCATGTTCAGCATTGCACCCTATGCCTGCAGTAGTCTGTGAGGGGTTTCTCCCCACACATGACCACTGCAGTAGTTGAACACTTGGAGGAGTTAGACAAAAAGCTAGAGTTTTCTGAGTTGGATGCAAAAGACACACATTTCTTTAGCATTAAAAGTAGCTTCTGAGCCTTACTGGGAAGTTATCTGAGGATAATAAGCTTGTAGATAGTAGTAAAGAGGAGGAGCGAAGAAGAAACATCCCTTTTAGATGAGATGACACCTCACCTCCTGCTTTAGTGGCTGCATAGGCATTTGCCGTGAGGAGAGAGTGATGAGAGAAAGCTACAGCGGAGAAAGAAAGAAACAAAGACAGATCCTACACAGCGCCAGCAATACTATACCCCTCTGAGACTTACCATGAGCAAACACACGGCTGATTCAGGCATGAGTTGGACAGCCATGATGGGATCCTCCTATAGATTCTTGTGAAGGGGGAACGTAGGCAAATCCCTGGAGGGACTCTCTTCGCTGTACTCTTCCTCGATCCTCTTATTCTGAGTCTTCACTCAGAAAGCAAGCTCACCTCTGTCCAGATAAAGCCCGCTGACCGGCCCTCCCACTGTGACCTCAACCAGCTCCGTCTGTCTTTCAGTCAGTGCTGCAGACAGCCTCTGGTCTCTAATTGTGATGCCACAGTCTCTGGAGAGCATGTGACTCCCCAGTCTCTCTGCGACTCTTCAGACTGAGCGAAAAGCAATCCTCCTTCTTCCAGTTCTTTGATCTGAGAGCAGACCCCCACCCCCTCCCCCCCAGACACACTCCTTCTTTCACTTTTAAAACACTCCCAGCAGACCCCACTCCCACCTCCCCCAAACCCCTGTGACTCGGGTGCCTCTTGCTAAATGCTCCCCTCCCTCTGTTGCTGCCTTCTGCCTCCCTTTTTCAGTCTACTCTCCAAACAACACAAAGCACATCCAGGCATGCGCGTGGATTTCTCAGTCCATTCAGTTTACACCGAGGCTGTCCTTTCGCTGCTCCAGAGGATGTAACCTGCATCGGTGATGCTCCCCAGTCTAAAGCACTCCTCCACTATGGTGGGAAAGACAGACGCTCACCTTTCCACTCAGAGATCCGGCGCAGAGATGTCCCCTTTAGACTAATCCCCTGCCTCATATATCATCAGCATGAGACAAGGGCAGAGTGGGAAGCACATAAAGGAGAGTATGATAGACAGTTTCAAAAGGACAGAGGATGAGGTAAAAGGCAGCCGGGAGGATAGAGATGTAGTGGAAAGAGCAGCCACTGGTGAGAGAGGTCCACACTGTGCTGAGCGTAATTGAAGGTGGGTGGAGAAGAGGGAGGGGAGAGAGCAATGGAAATGCAGCGAGACCGCGCCTATCGATGCCGGCTGAAACAGCAAGGCAGCATGGGATGTGAGTAAACACACTTCAGCTCAGATAATGAGCGGGGTGTTCATGTGTGATTGTGCACATGTGATTTAGATCCATGGTAGCTGTCAGACACCTGACACCCGTGTTCCAGACTGATTTTTCAGACCCGTGTTTGGCATTAATAATTTAGCCAGTCTCAGCGTGGCTTTTGTCTATGCAAGATAGAGAGATTAAGAGAAGTAATGAGACAAATATACTAGACAGAAGGTCAGAAATCATGTAAATATCCAACGGATGAATGCCAGAAGGCTCACTGCAATGAAGTAGCACCAGCTCAGCTTTAAATATTGTGAAAATGTAATTATCTACATGTGAGCAAATCACTTGCATGTTTCGGGTGGGTGAACAGCTGGGTACATAATCATAGTATTGTGCTCAAATTTGTAAACTTGTAATATGAATCTTTAATAATAGCTACATTAATAACGAATAGCTTTTTATTCTTTTTTCCCCTCAAAAGAATCTGCAGGTTAAGAACTAGTTCCATTAAATTATATAATAAAGTATGGTAATATTATACAGTATATATAGTATTCTATCCTATATATAAATATTGTACTTTTTACTTTGCTACATTTATCTGACAGCTTCAGTTACTAATTCCTTTACAAAGTAAGATTTTCACATACAAAATATATGAAGAGTTTAAAAAATATGTTTTGTTACAAATAAACTACCCAACCCTTTATACAAGTAGTCTACAGCTGAAATGATTGGCCGATTAATCAATAAGTCAAGTGACAGTAAATTGGCAACCGTCATGAAGTAATTTTTTGTGTAAAACAATGTCATGATTTGAGCTTCACAAATGTGAAGATTTGCTGCTTTTCCTTTTAATTATTTGAATTATTTGAATGTTTATTAATGTTGAGGTTTGGACTGCTGACTGTGAAGGTGTCACTTTGGGCTCTGTGATGACATTTCTCACTATTTTTAGATTTTTTTTATAAATCAAGCAATCAGTTGATTGATGGACAAAATAATCTGCAGATTAGGGGAGACCAGGTATGGTTGTAACATGGGGAGAGTTGTAACAACACCAATTCCACCAATTGGAGATAAAATAGGAGTTAGGTGATCATTTCAGAATTTACCTACTTCCTCCCTGATCAGGCAAGATGGTTACCAAGTCTGGAAAGAGGTGCATTCAGAATATATAGAGAAAAAACTGATTTTGAGGTAAGAAAGTAAAGTTTTTGACCAAGACTTTTTTTGTTTAGCATCTATACTATTGCAGATAGAATTGTTTGACTTATATTGGATTGAAATATAGTTTCTCAGGCAACATTTGATGCATTTTTTCTTTTAATTTCAAATGGTAATAGAGCTAGCTAAACATCACGTGTTGTACACATGTTGGCGTATGTATCGTCACTCGACCTTTTCCATACTCGGTCTCCGCCGCTGGAGAGGGTAGAAAAGTGTATGGGCAGCTTGTGCTGTGTGCAAGAAAAAGTCCTGGTACACCAAAAAGTAAAATACAGAAGTGCTGGTATACGTAGCAGTGAATACCGGCCCACTTCAAGCACTGACTGTGACTCTGAAAAGAATATACACACATTGACAGACACACACACACACATCTCTTTTTAGTTAGACCTAAGGATGCACAGAGATGTTCTTTAATTAATTACATTTTAGTCGTATTTATTAAGTATACTTTTAAGTAAGTTTATTCTATAGTTAAATTTACCTACACATACTGTACATGCGCGCAAGTCATCAGACAAAGTCTGTTACAGCAAGACAGAAACATTGTTCTTTTATATAACTACCTGTTTTGGAAGGATATCATATAGTGTGGCATTTATTTTTGATTTATTTGTGTGACTGTTACAACCTATCCCAGCATGTGTTACAACCAACCCTGCTATTGGGGTAGGTTGTAACAAGGGAACTCATTGCATTTTACATCAACTCAGGAGGTCTGTGATATTCTTGTAGAGGATTGAATTGGTGCCATTTGTAGTGAACAAAAGTGGGTAGCCTACTTTGTATAAAAATTTGAGAACTCTAGCTAAAAAATTCAGTGAGTTATAATTACTGAAGCAAAAAGTGTTACAACCGGTCTCCCCTAATCCATAATGAAAATAATCATTAGACTTTTGATTGTTACAGAGTTCTTGCTTTTACTTTCTCTCCTGGCAGTGGCGTAATTCCGGGGTTTGGGACCTATACACTTATCGCTCATCTCCAATCACGCGCCTGACCTACATCCAGCCATATAAGGAAGTTCCCGTCCCCGCCGCATGATGATCACTTGTTTGTGTTTGCATCATTCGCTGTGTACTCTGCCTCAGGAAATAAACACCGGACCTGTTCACCAGCTACCAAACCTGCCAGTCACTCCGTGGTTCACGGAAAACACCACAGGATCCAGCACTTACCTGTGCCTTTCATGTGCCAGCCCCCCCCCCGCGCATTTCTTCTTTGTTCAAATAAATTACCTTCAAATCTAGGGGCTGTGTGTGTTCTGTCTGCCTTTTGGCTTCAGGCTAGCTTCCTCACACTTTAAGGCTCTCTGTAGGCTATTGAAAAATGCAGTCTCTTTCTCAGCAAAACTTCCTTTTTACAGATCAACACAAATCTCCACAGGCTGACGTTGGTAAGAGATTGCCAGATTTGTAATCATTGCAATCATTCTGCATGTGTTTTTTCTTAAGACACCCCATTGAGATTACTACAACTAGCCTATGAGCCCTCCTTAACTTCCTCTCACAGTGCATGTGTGCTGCCGCTAACGTAGGTCTGCCATATAGAATTAAAAAAACTGTTTCGCCGCATTTCTACAGCGAATATAAAAATAGTAGGCCTAACAAAATTTAACAAATTTTCCAGTTTTGTGTGTGGACTTTTGGCCCTCTTCTATCATTAGGCTATTTTCTCTGGCTGTGATATGAGCAAGACATTCTTTTCCACAATTATCATCCTTATTCATTTTTCTGTCATGTCATCAGGAAGTTCCCCTCAGTTTAAACTCCTCCTCCCCTCTGCTGTACAGCCTCAGACTGCACGGACAAGAAACTGGTGTAGTGTTTTGCTGCAGATTTGGAATGAACTAACGCTTAAGTCTGCATGTGAGGGACAGCACGTGATCGGGATATTCGGTGAGTAGAACAAATGCAAAAAAACATACATAAAAATACTCGGTGTAAAACATTTATCGGTATCTTTTTACAACCAAAACTTGCTCTTGCTATAATGACAGTGTAAAAGCAAGGAGACAGTAATCAAAATGTAATGTATGAAAAACAAATATCTAAGCAGTCAGTGAACCACTTTATTTATGTTTCGAAGCTTTAATGATTTCCGTCGTTGAGGTTACAGCAGGAGATGGCACTGCTGAGCCGCAACACTGAGCCAATCGGCAACGAACGCTTGGAGAAATGGGTGTCAGTTGACTCCGGGGGATTCGGTCATGTCTACAAGGCCAGGCACAAGGAATTGTGCATTGATGTGGCCATTAAGATACTTCGCGATGATGTTCGGTAAATGCACAAACATTTGCAATTTTTCTGTAACTTGGCGACTTAGTTCTAATGATTAATTCATGCGCATCCACAAACGTTAAATAGTAGTTAAAGCAGCTCTGCAGCTTTAACTTGCTTGCTTTCTCTTTACTCTTCTCAACAATCCCCTTCCTTATTCCAGCCCAGCACTGTATGAAGAGGCTAAAAATATGGAAAAAGCCTCCTGTCCGTTTGTGCTGACGCTTTATGGAATGTATCAGGGATGTCCCCCATTTGGGGGAACATCAATGCAACAGGGAATAGTGATGGAGTTCATGGAAAGAGGATCTGTTCACTCCCTGCTGAAGGACCTGTCTGGCCCCCCGCCATGGCCCTTGGCCTTCCGCCTGGCCCATCAGGTGGGTCTAGGCATGAACTTCCTCCATTCAATGGACCTTATGCACCAGGATCTAAAGCCAAGTAATGTACTGCTGGATGACAACCTTAATGCCAAGGTGTGTGTCATCTAGTGCTCTTATGTTTACATTAAATGTAAAGCTGATTTAACGGCTTGTTTAATATTATGTGTGTCTTTCTTACTCTGTAGCTAGCAGACTTTGGTCTGTGCAGGGTTTCCACCAGTGCCTTGAACAGCAGCAGAGAAGCAACAGGAGCAATTGGAGGCTCACACAAGTACATGCCTCCTGAGGCTTTTGAGGCATCATATAAACCTACCCGTGCTTTTGACATATACAGGTTAAGATTAAAACCAAATACTACTAAATGTAGAAATGCATCTGTATATGGTAAAAACTTTAACTGTTACTTAAAAACCCCTCTTTCTCTCTCTTGATCAGCTATGGCATCCTGCTCTGGTGTATCGTTACCGGTAAAGAGCCCTATCCAAGTATGTATAGTTTTTTTTTATTGTCATTCCAGACTTATTGTTCGTTTTCTTTACGTTTAAGTTTCCAGTCATTTTCCTACCATCTATTGTTTTAGTGTTTTTGGTAATCTCCTATATTGTTTTCCTCATAATGCATCACTTTACAACCAAACTAAGCACTGTTTATACTGTATTATATCCAGTTCAAACACACTGTATGTACACACACTCAGTTGTGTTTGTATGTTTTGTTGTATGTCTTCATTGTATTACATGTACTGTAGTGGCTGATTACAGTCTTGTGGCCCTGGGGATCCCTCGAGGGGACAGACCTCCCTGTGACAAAATTAAGCAGATGAACGTGGAGGGGTTGAAACAGCTGGTTGACCTCATGCAGAGGTGCTGGGTTCAAAATCCCTCCGAGAGGCCACCTTTTAAAGGTATTTTTATAGAAATATACATGTTCATTGTTACCATATTAGAACATTCTGTATAGTTAAATCTAACAAGCATAGAAGTGATTTGCAGACTAATTTGTCACTTTTGACACCTGCTTCCTTTGAGAAGCCACTACTCATTCATGCACACTGTAATTTACAGACAGTATGTACGTACACTATGTATTTAAAATGAAACTAATGCTTTTGTTTCAGAGTGCCTTAAAGTCACTGAGAATTTGTTGTCAATGCACAAGAAGGGAATTCCTAATGCATTCCTTGAAGTCTCGACAAGACTGGTACTCATTAATTTCTTTTCAGAAAATTAAATATAATCCTGACTAATCATGATCCAAAATTTACTTTTTGTTCATTCCTTTCTCTGATATACTGCATAACAATTTCTCCCTGTTTTACTCTAGTCACCAACCAGTAATCAACATTCCAACTGTTTTCCTCATCCGACACCAGGTAGATAATTCAACACTGTTTGTGAGTTGCATGAGTTTAATCTTAATCAGGGTATTCCTTTCTTTCCACAATAAAACATGAGGTTCCTTTTCTCTTTTTCAGAACAGACACAGGCAAATGATACTGTGGATCATGTCAGATTTACTAAAATGAAGGTCATCCCGTCTTCAATGCAGGTATGCCAAATGCACTTTGACCTTTGCCTATTTAATAAGGTCATCTCACTGAGATAAAGAGAGTCCTGTGAACAAAAACCTGTAGCCTTCAGTCAACCCTACAACCAAAAGTAGCTGTGTGCAAAAAGATATGTCGAGGGAATATAATTTTAATATTTTTTAAATATATTTTTTGTATAATTAACCACCGAACACATCTCATGGTTTGGTGCAGGGTGTGGCCAAATACATTGAAACAGATTATTATTAACTGCATTATTATCACAACTTTAACACGTCATTCAGTCATAAATGATCCAAACTAGTGTATAATACATTTAGCAATGCACTAGTATAAGAAATAACACAATATAGACTGATTTTTTTCTTGCCAACAGGATTCTGTTTCTACTAAAATAATCAGTAATGCAGAGAAAGGTGAGTACTTTTTACTCTACAGACGCTCTGTGTTGTGAAAATTAATTTATGTTCTTTTTTGTTAAAGTTTCCTGTAAACTCAAATGAGCATGATGTTGGAATTCATTCATTCAAGGGTCCCATTAACTGATGAATGCCTTTTTATGTACATGCTTTTTTCCTTCTATATTTTAAAACAGCAAAGTTTGTTGATGACAAGAGGGCAGCATTAATTCAGAAAGTTTCTGAGGTGATGGCAGTAGCAGAGGATCTTGGAAACATGGTGCACCCTGAAGCCTACGCAGTGATTGACGCTAAAGGGACGAGCCAGGAGAAAATGAGAGTTCTTTATCAAAGGGTACTTACATCAGGAGGGGAAAAGGTCAAAGCAGCCTTCTACGACGCTCTCAGAAACCATCACCCTGCGCTAATGGACAGTCAGTAGGAATTCCTCTTGTTAAAATATTCAAACATGGTAGTTTAATCTATGATAAGTTATTCAAGTTTCTAATTTCACGTTGTCTTCCTCTTAGGTGACTAATTCTAAAGCAAATGGGGCTTTCCTTCATTTTATGGACAGCGGTGTGAAAGACTTTCTCTGCCTCTACTCCTTTCATCTTTATTTTTATATATTATATTTTATATGTTTTTTTATATATTCTGTTCATTTTTATGTATGCGATTCGTTGACATGTTACTCCACTGTATTTACAACAATCATGCATATAATGAACTTTTTAAACATGTTTTTAATAAAAAAAAAAAATTCAGAAAGTAATTTGAAAATTCTGTCTCCTCACCTTCTTTTTTTGTTACAAAAAGTAACATGGTGCATAGTGTAGGGGTTATGGCTTAATCGTCAGCGACAAACACATTTGCCATTGTTAATTAATATGAAGGGGGGCAGGGGGCGTTGCTTGTTTCCTGTAGTGGATGGGAGGAAGGGAGAGAGACTGGTAAGAGGCTTTTCTGTTTCAATCCCTCAGTAACTGTCACAAGCAGTCAGTCAGTCACCTGCAGATGATGTTGTCGAGGGCATCACAAGCAACAAAGTTACTTTTCTGTCTCAGTTTAATGTACAGGTTTGATGTTCACTACTCTCAAACTGAATAGCGGTCCTGACAATGAACTGGTGAAGACAAAAAACTTAAAGAGACAGAAGGGGACTTGGGTCTCTTACATTCAGTAACCTTGTTTTATCATATTGTACAATCAACAGTATTCCTAAAAATGTGAGTTTCCATCAATGTATTTATTAGCATATTTTGTTACACTACTATGTAAGAATATAAATGCACAAGTGCCTTGGGATACAAGCCACTCTTCACTTTTATTATGAAGAAACAATTATAGTGCAACATGTTGTTGCCTTTAAGTTCGTCCTTTCTTTACACACACAGAGACACTTGGATACAGTATATCTCTCTGTCTAAAAGGCGTAACAACATGGGATTTGACCTTCTTCTCATTCACAGCTCTGTCTCCTTGAGCTCTGCAAAAAAGCAAAAAGAACAACACACACACACGCACACCTCTACACCATGGTAATCTTCCAAGGGGAAAGTGTGTTCAAGTGTCATCTTGACCCACCCTTCTCTTCCTCAGTCCTCCTGCCTCACTCCACCCTACAACCCATCTCACTCCCACCCCACCCTGTATTAATGCTCCCAATCCTCTTTGTGGGAGAGTGACGTCTGCTACTGTCAGAAACAGAGTTAAGCTCAGCAGGCATCGGAAGAACGGAGGGGAAAGAAGCTCCACAGATAACCAAGCAGCACTGCGTTCTGGGTCTCCATAGGGACGAATCTCTGCCACCTAAGCAAGACCTGACTTTCCTCCCCCAGCGGCTGCTCATGCCTCCGGCTGGGGAACATACAGGGAATTCGGTGTGCCAAGAAAGTCGACTTCATGAACAGGTTAGCTAAAAGCTCTACTTGAGTGCCTTTATGGCCTCACACTCCAAGGATGAGAGATGACAATGTGGAATACAATCTCTCTCTCTCTCTCTATGGGCAAACAACATTGTTTTAAGGTACTTCTGTAGCTGCTACTTCTGCACCCCCCCCCCCATTTTGGAAACTCTCAACTGCACACATACTGCGGCAAACCTTCAAATCTTGTATTTTTGGCCATTTGGGTTCAACTGCTGCACTGGCCACAAAACAGATGGCAAGACAGCTCCCTCCCATGTCAGGTGTGTCTGAAAGGTATTTGTGTGAACATGCACTCAAAGGGTCTTTATGAGTGCTTATAATTGAACAGCAAGTGGTGTGTGTTGCTGTGTGGCTGTTGGGAGCTGCTGGGGCAACTGTTTGCTTGAAGTGTATGTGTGTGTGTGAGAGAGAGGTGGTGGGGCCCTGTGGAAGTCGTAGCCCTGGATTTCCAAGAGATGGAAGGTCATGGTTATGACCGGCTTGGAGATGGGGAGAGGGACAATTACCAAATCGACTACCGGAGGATTGTGGGGGACATGGAACCAGCACGGCCGCGCATCTCAAACAGAGATGGGGAACCACCTCACCCCTACGGGGCCTATAGCCACCCAATGCCACATGGACATGGGCATGAGACTGCAGCCCAGCGATACAGCGCTACACGTATCCAAGCTGGATATGAACCAGAGAGGTCAGATTCATACTCTTGTACAGACTATCATCACACTGCATATACTGTAAGGTCACGGCCTACTCTCATTTGCGGAAGTTAATGTGTGAAGCCTTATAACTTCTATTGAACATTGAACTCAAGCTGAGATGTTTTCACTTTTGAGTAGCATTGGTTGTGCGCCTATTTATCTGCTACCTGGGCAGCCAACCAAATCCTCTTATCTAATGCACTGCCGTCATAGGTGTATAAAAGGAGTTTCCATAGACAAGGCCGGATCCCTTTCGTTAGCATTTCCTGTCTCGACTCCAGCATTTGTAATAGGATCTGGCCAAATGTGTGTAAGAAACACAGTCAACAACTTGTTTTGCACAAGAGATAAATGTCACTGGAAATAAATGGCCGACTAAACAAACATGTTATTTTTAGTGACAATAGATTTATGCACACTGCTTGCAGTCACGCGAAGAAATGGATGGGGGATTGTGTTAAAGTGGTCAGTAAAATGTTTATTAAATTATATATTATTATCATTTATATTTAAAATCTGCAGCAAGAACTACAATCACTGTCAATTCAAATCTACTATTACTTCTAGTCATAGAAGTGTCATCTTTTATTGTCATATCATTATACACTCACCGCATATTCAGACCTGGCACTGAGTTATTCATATTTTCAGATGTTAATGTGTGGCTTTACATATTATCATTATTTTTATCATTTTTGTTATTATCATATTTCAGCACGGCAGACTACCTGATCAGTGGAGGCACAGGTTATGTTCCTGAAGATGGATTAACAGCACAACAACTCTTTGCAATCGGTGATGGACTTACATACAAGTAAGAAATGCTAATAAAAAAAACATATTTTATGGCACAAAATTGAATTTTACGGTACTCACTGACACACGTACATTTCTGCATTTGCACATACAGAAACGCCCGTACACATTAGTGTTATGCAATGTTTTCCATTACTAGTATATCAGCGATGACACATCTGCTTGAGTTTTATATGGAGGATTATAACGAGTAATACTACTTTCAAGGATGACCCTGAGTGGTGTCACAGACATTAAAAGCAGTGTGTGTGTGTGTGTGTGTGTGTGTGTTGTGCACATATCAGTGTATTAATGGGTGTCAGTGTAGTTTCCTTAATGGAGGCTATATGCAGGGTTTATCAGTGTGCTGAGGATAAATGCAGAACATTGCAGGGGTTTGAAAAAGGCTGACAGATTATGTCTGCTCACTGTCAACTAAGTTTAAAGACTGCTGCTTGTAGGAATGGATATGTGCAGTACAGTTCACATACACAGTTAAAGCGGCATGATACATGTGGAGATTGTAATATTGGTTATTAATATCATTTATGTAATATTTTTTCTAGATCCAAAGCAAGATGTTCTCATGTTCCTCTCTCTAACTGCATGTGTCTGCTCTGTCTCTCCTCTCAGTGACTTCTTGATCCTCCCTGGTTTCATAGATTTTACTTCTGATGAGGTGGTGAGTATCATAACACTGCCCATGATATGCATATCACAAGCCACATACTGTGTACTGTTCCCCGGTGTACACTATATTTTTGTCTTTGTCTTGTTCGTATGTGATGCACAAAGAAAACTTTCTGTGGACAAACATGAATAATTACATTTGTCCTAAACAAAGGGATTAAAGGACGCACATAATTTGTACTCTCTTGTACTGTTTTTTTCATGCCATGTTCCTTTGGGCCACAAACATGTTCTTGTCTTTGGCCTCAATAAAAAAAATGTTTGCTGATGTTTCATGTTTTTGACAGTCATTCACAAGCGCAGGGAATCCCCAACTCTTTGTTATCACCCTTGGAGCACAGTGTTGGCTTGCTTTGTTTTTCGACTTTGCAAGCTCTGCTGGGACATTAAATGAATTTCATGCCTAGGTCACATGGCCTATTGTGGGACAGCAGGTGTTCAAAACAGACACACGCCTGCGTCATGTAAGAGTCAAGCAGGTGAATTCAACAAGTCAGCCTCTAATGTGCCCAGACTGCCTTTTAGGCCCATTGCACTACAAAATAAAAATAAATTTTAACATTTGGTTAACAAATGTGTTGCAGCTGTGTACTTGTCATTTAGAGTATGTCATAGCAAAACATTTAAGATTATAGTCTGTATATTTTTGCTATATGTGTTTTTGTGTTTTAAGGTCATTAGATGATGTTTGGTTTCCAAATGCAACCCATGTTTAGGATCTAACCTCTGCATTGACAAGGAAGATAACCCTGAAGACACCTCTTATTTCATCTCCCATGGATACAGTCACAGAATCATCCATGGCCATCGCCATGGCAGTGAGTACAAACAGTGCTCAACCTTACACACACCCAGCTTAGCATCATCCTTCTCCGCAGTGCTAAGTGCACAATAGCACTGAAGGCTTTGGTTACCTTTTCAGTGTTGTTTCTTCTTTGCTCTTGTGTTTGTGATTGGCTGGCTTCAGTTGATGGGTGGGATTGGAATAATTCATCATAACTGTACTGCTGAGTCCCAGGCCAATGAGGTGCGCAAGGTCAAGGTAAGACGGACCAAGTCAACAAAGGAATGAACTTAAAGTACACAGAGAAAGTGATCTGTGACACCTTTTCAGAATAATAATGTTATTTTCAAAACAATATACACTGAATGTCCTCTAATCACTCAACACTTGTGTTTTTGTTCTTGCCAGAAATTTGAGCAGGGCTTTATTACAGACCCAGTGGTAATGAGTCCCCGACACACAGTGGGGGACGTGTTTGAGGCGAAGACACTCCACGGTTTCTCTGGGATCCCTGTTACAGAGACTGGCAAGATGGGCAGCAAGCTGGTCGGCATAATCACCTCCAGAGATATAGACTTTCTGTCTGAGAAGGACCATGACAGACCCTTGGAGGAGGTGGGTGTATAACAGTGTATTTATGTGTGCATGTGTTTGAGAACGCAATATATGCAATAATTGTATGATGCAAAAAAAGTGGGTGGAATAGTAATATACGACTTTTTGATCCAGGCAATGACAAAAAGGGAAGATTTGGTTGTTGCACCTGCTGGAGTCACTCTAAAAGAGGCTAATGATATACTGCAACGCAGCAAAAAAGGTAAATCTGTGAAGTAGGTCTTGCTACTGTAGAGCAAATGTAACCAGCACTTGGTCTCATATGTATACTTCTTTTTTCTTTCTTCATTCACTCGCTTCACACTCTCCTAGGTAAGCTCCCCATAGTGAATGACAGTGATGAGCTGGTTGCCATCATTGCTAGGACTGACTTGAAGAAGAACAGAGATTATCCTCTGGCTTCCAAGGACTCCCGCAAACAGCTGCTGTGCGGAGCCGCTATCGGTACGAGGGATGACGACAAATACCGGCTGGACCTCCTGATGCAGGCTGGGGTGGATGTGGTAGTCCTGGTAGGTTTTGACTGTGGTTTGATGAGCTTATTGGTTAGTTTAAGATTTGATTCTGATGTCATAGCACTCAACAGTCAAATTGTCCACATCTTACAGGCAGGATGAATGTGGCGGCTTTGGGGCTTGTTGATGATTATATTAAATAGGAATTGTTCTAATTTACCTAATTTATTGATTTAATTTAAACTTGTGGAGTGTTTCTTAAAGTAAGTGCTTCATCTCTCCTTGAAACTATTTCACTTCTCATTTTGAGCAGGATTCCTCCCAAGGAAACTCAGTGTATCAAATCAACATGATAAACTACATCAAGCAGAAATATCCTGAACTACAGGTAGTTGGAGGAAATGGTGAGCTCTCTTCCTGTCTCTGAGCTTTCTTATGCGTTTGTGGTGTAAAAACCTTTCTTTAACCTATTGCACATTTCCCACATTGAGCTCTTTTCTGGGTGTCTGTCTCTCTCTAGTGGTGACAGCTGCTCAGGCTAAAAACCTCATAGATGCTGGTGTGGACGCCCTGAGGGTGGGCATGGGGTGTGGCTCTATCTGTATCACCCAGGAAGGTAAGACAACGAGTTTGGTACTGTGAACGTCTGCTTCTTTAAGATAAAACCTTGTATTTTGAAAAAGTCAACAAAACTGCATCTTTTCACAGGAGCACTGCATTTAAATTCTTGGATAAGTTAGAAAAAGTTATTAGTTTACATGTGATAAACATAAAGCAGGGAACATAATAATGTCTTCATCCCAGCTGTATTGGGGATATTTTTCACCAACACACCGGTTTGTGCTCCTGTTCCTCAGTGATGGCATGTGGACGGCCCCAAGGTACCTCGGTGTACAAGGTTGCAGAGTATGCCCGACGATTTGGAGTGCCAGTAATTGCTGATGGAGGCATTCAGACTGTTGGACACGTGGTGAAGGCTCTAGCCCTGGGAGCATCCACAGGTAGAGAAATGCAGCATTCTCCTGTTCTCCTTCTACATAAGTCTTTATATAGTGATTCACATTTGAATTCAGTGGACCTTTATGTGGAAAGACAACTCTAGTGATCTCACTGTTAACCAACTGTGTAACCAACACACTACTTTTATATAATAAAAGTGTTGTTTTTCGGAAATGTTTTGCTTTTTTGTTGTCGTCTTTTTTTGCCCTTGCCTGTTGTCCTTTTAATCACTTCATAACATTTTTTTTGGTCCTGTCATATTTCTGCCCTCAGTGATGATGGGGTCATTGCTCGCCGCAACCACTGAAGCTCCGGGAGAATATTTCTTTTCAGATGGTGTGCGTCTGAAAAAGTACAGAGGAATGGGCTCCTTGGATGCCATGGAGAAAAATAACAGTCAGAAACGCTACTTCAGGTGGGGAGTGAGGTCACAGAGGTCCTTTGCTGTGTAAACACATATTCTAGAAAAAAAAAAGTATATGCGACACATGCATCTCTTACTCTGTGCGACTTGTATTTGTGTGTCCAGCGAGGGAGATAAGGTGAAGGTGGCTCAAGGTGTCTCAGGATCAGTACAAGATAAAGGCTCCATCCATAAGTTTGCTCCTTACCTCATTGCTGGTATCCAACATGGCTGTCAGGACATAGGAGCCAAGAGTTTGTCCATTTTACGGTAAGTGTGAAATTGCACGTGTGTGTTTACTGTTTTTATAGTGTAAGGGCTTTTCGTTAGAAAGAGCTGTGGGTCTTTGCACCAGGTCGATGATGTACTCTGGAGAACTGAAGTTCGAGAAGAGAACCATGTCTGCTCAAATGGAGGGAGGAGTCCATGGCCTACACTCGTAAGTCAGACCTCTGACCCCTGACCCCTGGCCCCTGGCTCCTGACCTTTCCCCCTCCCCTGCAACTCCCTCTTACTACAGTACATGCCTCTTTTCTTTATCCCCCTTGGTAGCCCCCTACTGTCTAAATATTTTGGTGGCAGTGGTACTGTGGCGAAGCCTGTCATCATCGCTTTCCTCTCTAAATATGTGACCAACCAAGTTTCTTTATAACAGCAAAGACACTAACAATGCATGTCTAAGCTTCACTTGTATTCAGTCCCTTTGAAACCTTTCACTGTCAAATGGAATGGAATTTACCTGTGGTTAGCGGCATCAAAATTGTCTTCTCTCTTCCTCTTCTCTTACCCATGCTATCACATTAGATATTCTTTTGTGCCATGTAAGTACATCCATGTGGTTATAATACTTCCATCTTATTTCATTCATTCATCGCTTTCCAAGATTGCCTTATATTGGTTTAAATGTTATGACACCACAGGAAATGCCTATACTCTGCCTTTTCTTTTTCCAATGTGTAGTTACGAGAAGCGACTTTACTGAGGCGGGAGGAACAGGAAACACTCGATCAAGACCTAACGTCCCGACCCCAGCAGCTATGAGCAGATGCACGGGACGCATGTGATCAAACCACAAACACAAAGCTCTCGTTGTTTTACAACATCCACACTCAAATCCACACAAAACCAGACAACCTGCTTTTCTGTGCCCTCCTCTCGTGTTCTTGTCTGTCTATTTGAACCCTTCATGGAATACACTTTAAAAAATCTAATGAGATGCCCATCTCCTCATTGGTCTCTGAATTGCACCCTGATACAGAAGAGTATACAACAAACCCTGCATAGGTGCACCCCTATATTTCCATGCTCATTTAACATATCATACAAGATACATACTTTTTTTTCTCTCCAGGAAATCAGGCGGTCAGATACATCACAAAAAGCAGCATGTCTCTGGCATAATGTTTTAAACAGCTAACATTTTATTTCATTAAAAGTGAAGTTTAACATACAAGTTAAAATGCTTTAAGACATATCTCTGCTGATAATGGAAGCACATTCCAGAAATGTAAAATAATTATATGATAGTATTATATGTAGTTATGGTCACATTTTCTGGCCTATGACCATGTGGCTTACTGAGCCAGGATGAAACATTCAATATAGGGCTATAGGATATATAGCACAAATATGTTCTCATTATCTTCCATGTCGTTTAAGCAAATTCAATGTAATTTCTCTGACAGGTGAAAATTTGGCTGTTACATGATGGATGCCCTGCATATAATCTCATCCTTTATTAGTGAGCTCTTTGAATGTGCTGCACTGTTGCAGAAGAGACCAAAGCTTAGCATCAGCATTAATTCACATCTACACATATTTCTTTTTACAATGTGTGCTTAAAGAAGGGATCATGTGTAATTTCACTACAGATTTCTCACTGTGGATTTTCTCGAGTGACAAGACAGGAGACAATCCACCCTCTACCTTTCAGTTACCTGATTATCATTCCATACGCCGTCTCCATTTTTAGATTCATAAAGCAAGTCACAGCGAGTCACATTGGCTTGCCATGTTGTGATCTTCTATAATTATGTTTAACAAAAACACATTATTAATTATGGTAAGTGGGTAGTAACTTGTCCTTTTTTTGCAGGCTCAGTGAAATAGTGCTGTGGAGTCAGTGGAGTAGGGTAGTAATAAACAAATTGCAATGGATGTATTTATTTATACTTTATGGAACTGTAGACAAAATATTGATTTGTCAGTTTTATGTAATTAATTAATTTTCTTGGGAGGTACTCACTGTCTTTGGTACACTCTGGATCTTCATTTTGCAATAACCTGAAAACAAGAAAAATTAGCTCTTGACAAAATTATTTGACAATTTCTTACTTGAGGGTTACAGAAAGTACAAAAACTGTGTTCTTCTATTACATACCTTGAGACTTCAAAATTATTTACTGTAAATAGTGTTGCATGAATAAATATAATATTGACACAGGGATTTTAATTTTTGTTTAAAATGTTTGCCATATTTCCAGAAAAATATGAGGGAAAAAGTCATTGCTCATCTTGACTCCTGTGTTTTTACAATTGCAAACGGGTAATTGTGTCATTACCACTAGAGGGCAATATATTCAAAATCCAACCACTTCACTATTCATGTTTCATACTTTTAGTAATGTCTTGTGCTGTGCCCTTGTAACCTTACTACAGTTTGCCACCCACTATTAATTTAAAAAAAAAAGCTCAGATTTATTCATTGATGGTACAGGCTGCTAAAATGGTTTGCTAAAGTAGGTAATACAGAAATATTTAAGACACACTCATCCTGTGTATACTGTATATGGATTTTCGTTGAATTACCATGTTTATTACGCCACACATTATAATAACATATGATGATCATGTGAGAAAAGTAGCCTACTACATGCAAAATGTCTATTCCACTGATGAAGTAACATCTTAATGGTCAGCAAGGTGCTGATAGTGGGTGGGCAACTTGTTATGCTTTCCTATTACAAACAGACTACAATTGTTTAGCTCCCTCTGATGAATTTGAATTTAAAGTCTTCCTCATATTGTTTACCACTCTGGATTAAATTGTGTACACAAAATCACAACAGGGAAGAGGTCAAAGGGGCTTATCTCTTTATATGTTAAGTCCTTTTGAGCACATCTCACTTTTTCGATCATGAAACACAACAGTACATCAACTGTGTAAAACGAAACTCTATTTTGTACAACATTGTTTGTCCACTCCCTATTGAAGAAGGCTCTCCTTTATATTCCTAGCATAGACTCTTTGAATTTCTTACTGCAGGATAGCTTCAAATATAAAAAGCTCAACATATCAGTTATACAAATATTTATACTCCTGCTTCAGTTAACTTCTGTATAGCATTTGCACACTTTAACAAGAGATATTTTTTCCTTGACATTCATGAATGTCTAACTGGAATGAGCATTTACATCAGAATACTGCCACAACATTTAAACAAAAAAAACATTACTAAGAGAAGAGCTTAGTGAAGTTGCTGAAAACAGTGTGATGCAGTCAGCCTTTAAAATCAGGTTTTGAATATAATAATATCAACAGTACAGCATTTATAGAAAATAAGTTGGGTCCATTAAAATAATATTGTCCATTCCTCTTTCATTACTTCAGGTAACTATTTTCATCTGTATAACTTATGATGTATACTTTAATTCCTCCATGTAACCTAATCAGAGTCTGCTATTTCTGTACAATGTCATGTGCATTCCAGTCACAACGGGACTTTTACAACTTTCTACAATTCAATAGTGTCACTGCAAACGCTCAGAGCGTCAATTTGTCTGCAGACGTTGACAAACTCTGCCTGTACAGCCAGATCCCATTCCAGCTGTTTGCTTTCACTCAGGTGTTTAGTCCCTGCCAGCCGGCCCGATCCGTGACTGTCCTGGGAGGCTAAGCTCAGGGTTCGGTAACGCCTGTGGTAAGACAGTTGGGGGATTGCTCGTGGGAGGCTACTCTGAGCAAAGCTTTGACCTCTGTTTGCCCAGGGATGTGAGCGCAGCTTTCCTGTCTCCTTGGGATTGCTGCACAAACCCTGGGTTGAGCCAGAGACACTCCCTTTCCAATCCCATTGCTCTGGTGACTTTGTTGGCTTGCTGTGAGATTTTAAAGAGCAATGTGGCTGGGAGGGTCTTGAACTGGACAGGAAGTCCTCTTGATCCACGTCTCCACAGGAAGAGGTTCGGTAGAGGGCGTTTTCCACAGAGCTAGGCCCTTGCTTTGACGTACCTTGGGTAGGGCTCAAAGAGAGGCTGGAAGAAGCATTGAATAGTCTTGGCAAACCAAAGATACTGTGAGAAAATAAGGATTCACTGAACAGAGCCTGGTCAATGCTGCGGGACAAGTCTATGGGAGATGGGGGCTGCAAATCCACTGTAGAGTCAGTTTCCAGGCCTAGGTTATCCAGTGATGATAGCTGAAACTCACCTGCATTCTTTGGCTTGTGTGGTGGGCTTGGGGGTGTAGGTAGAGGTAGAACAGTGTTCCAGGTTTGAACGGACTTGGGGACACAGTCTAGCCCATTTCCAGGAGGATCCACCACTGAGAAAAGAGGAAGAGCTTCTGACTGTCCCTTAGTGATGATATCGCAGACCACCAGCTTTTCCTGCTTACCCTGGGACCAGGAATCATGAGAGGAGAGAGTATTTGCACCTCCCTGAGAGGGCAGGGTGAGCCCTCGCGAAGGGGAGCTGCAGGAGAGGCGGGACCAAGATCCTGGCCGAGGATGAGTTATGGTCTTCATAGAGGAGGAGTTGTGACAGAATAGAGGGTGTGTACCAATGAGAGACAAACCTAGACACACCCCAGCCTCACAGAGCCTGCAGCCCACCTGGTAGCCCCACCAGGGCCAGGGCTGGAACCCATAGCCACCAACGCCGCCCAAACCAAGGGCATGCAGGATCCCATAAAGCTGGAGGCCTCCACATCCTAACAAGCACAATGAAGCCCCAACTCCAGCTCCAGCTGCCCTACTCCAGTCCTCCCCTTTAGCAAAGGGGCACCTTGCAGGTCGCATCACCTCAGGAGATTCTCCACTCTCTCCATTGTCATTCAGCCTGTACATGTGTTTAGTGTTGACTTGTATTAAGCAGTAGAAGATGAGGTAGGAGCATGAGAGAAAGATGGTGAGACACAAACACACCCTGAGGGAATAGCAGAATTCCAGTGGGGAGGCTGTGGAAGAGCTGGAGCATGCCAACACACCCCAGAGAGATGCCAGAATACAACAGGGACATACACAGTAACAGGCAAGGTTTGGGCAAGGCTGAGAATGAGGTGGAATTAGCAAGTGGGAGCGAAAGATGCATGCGTGAGCGCAAGGAAAGAAGGAGGAAGGCAAGGGAAAAGGCTGAGATCAAACAGGGGAAGGGAAGCTCAGAGAGCAGCAGAGAGCCCAGGGGGGAGACGATCTTGGTGACTGTAAGCATCATATAGCAAACAGAAAGCTTGGATCCCTGCAAATGCCAAGAGGAACAAGTGCAGCAAGGTGAAGTAGGAGCTACCTGGGGGACACCGCAGGGGCAGGCCTAACAGGCAGACCACAGAGATTAGGCCAAACACAGTGAAGACAGACCCCAGGCCATAGATGTGTGCTTCCCATGCAAATCCCCATGTGGCGAGGGCAGAATTCCAGTCCGAATACAGAGGGACGAAAAGGGCGGGGCTGAGAGCAAGAGAAGGGCGCAGGGACTCGCTGGGAGTAAAATCATCTTGGTAGGTGGGAGTCCAGGACTGGTTTGGTGTTTTGCAGGCTGTGGTGGATGTGTCCATGTTACCATCAAGCGAGAGTGTGCTACTGGTCTTTGAGACACGCAGGTCATCATCCTTGGAGTCACCTGTAACACAATACAATAAAATAATAATAAAAACATTACCAACTTATTTGTTGTGTCAACAGAAATTTTAAATATAGACATTTGTAACTGGCAAATGGACAGCGCATGCTAACATGCTAAAATATTCTGCAGGTAATGTTTAACATATTCATCATCTTACTTTAGTGTGTTAGCATGTGTGCTGTGCCCAGTATACAGCTTCACGTCACTGCTTGTGTGGTTATGTTCTCTTATATTTTTGGTCTTGAGTTATTAATTGGCAATTTTAATTATAATCACATTAATTTACCAATGAACATAGTATAACAACTTAATAATCTAATCAATGAATACAGGCCAAAGTCATCCATAGTTTTTTTTGTCCAAAAAGAGAGCAGTGGAGAATCTGCCATGTGTGCAGTTAATCCATAATAAAACAGAGCAGGCTTGTGACTGGGAATATCTAACTGGGTCACAGAGAGAGCGGGAGCATGGGTAGTGTGTTCACGTAAAAGAGAGTGATGTGTGTTGATTAGCCAGTATTGACCTCGTTGCTGCTCTCATTTTATGTGGCTATTATTAAGCCTGGTAAAGAGGTGTTATGCTTTCATTAATGTGGCAACAATAATCTGCAGAGGTATTTCACTTTCATATCTGACTGTGTAACCAATGAATAATGTAAGCATCTCATTCTCTGGTGAAAGAATGTTCAGAGCAAGCTGTATGGAGCCACCCGAATCAGGGGACCTACTGGTTATAAGTGGAATGTGTCCTATTTCTGGTCCTCCATTAGTCGTGAATTGATTGTGTCAATATGGAAGCGGCAAACAGTGAAAGACCTTGTAAGACCTTTTGAGCGATTTTCACAGTGTGCGTTATAAAATCTAAAAAATGACATCTTGACTTGAAGGTCCTCTTGACAATAAACAACAACTCAACATACAGGCTGAAATTTGTGTCTGGTATTAAACGCATAGGCAGCTTGAGGAAGAGTCATTTCTCACACTGTTGTAAAAGACCCCCCTCCCCATGCTTGTGGACACATCATTTACTTTGACAAGTGAGTGGCACTGTGTGTGATTGCATAGCAAATTCTGTATGTATGTGCACCACATTATCCAGTAACCTTCTATTGTGGTTAATGAACTGCGATGGGAATGTACCCCTACTACATTAACAGGATAGTGGAGGAATGAGTGGGAGAATATATGATAAAAGAACTCAGAGAGCAAGACAGGGGAGAGAGGGTTGGGGAAGAGTTAGGGAGAGATTTTTGAGGAGAGTCAAAGCTTAGGGGAGTAAAGTGATACAAAACATTCTGTGAATGTAAAACAACTGTGTCTGCCAGCAGAATACATATCACAAACACTACAGTCACAAATAGACTTGGAGTCTTGTTGCTCTTGTTTCAGGTATTTCATGAGGGCAACACTATCAATCCTAGTATTCACAATAGACCATAAGTGACACGTGTAAACTGTGATTGGTGTCAGGTTTAGTAAATGGTGGATGCTCCAAATATATTTAATGCCGAGGACTCTTACTTTTATCTGCCTCCACGGTGACAGCTCCTCTGTTTAAAATACGATCCGTCATATCAATCAATCCATCTCCGGTCTCTTTCACTGGGACAGTCCCCTCCTGTGTCTTTTCCCGTGTGATAACAGAAGGGCCCTTGGTCCATCCCCAACTGCTAGTGGCTACTGGTGGAGTGGGGCGCTCAGGGCTGGGCTCAGGCTCAGCAGACAGCAGTGAAGTGGAGTCCTCATTTGATAAAAGTGAGCCATTGAAGGAAGGTAACAGGCTATTAGTCGTCTCATTCTGCGAGACTGGGAAAGTAGGCTGATTCTCTTTAGTCTCTGTCAAATGCAATAATGATCCGTGCTGGTCTCAGCTGACTCATTCTTTGATATTTGTTCCTGGGTAAGTTGAGGTGATACTCCTCCTGCTAAAGTCAGTGTGTTCTTGTAGGAGGTAGCATCATCTATAGCTCTATCTGTGGGTGTGGATATGATACGTCCCTTCTCATTAGGGTACAAAATAGATGACTCTGTGCTCTCCTCTAAATCACCGTATTCACCAATCACGCCTTGTCTATCTGATCCCTCAGATGACGATAATGGCCAACTCAAAGGTAGACCAAGGGAGTCAACATTGCCCGGTGCTAAACCAGATCCGTGAGGTCTCTGTGGGGGCTGTGTGAGACGCTGTGCCGCTGTGTCAGTGTCTGCCTGTCGTGTTTCCTTGCCATTCTCTCCAGTAAAGGCAATGACATGTAGTGAATGAGGCACGGAGAGGGGCAGGAGAAGATACAGATTCCACAGAGAGAGCATGGTGAGAGTCTACAAACTCCACCGCAAAGTCACATGCTGTAGGTTTTGAGGGGCACTGTCACATGTTTGACAGATCTTTAACCTCAGGTCTCTAGGGATCTCATGCTTACACACCTGGAGGGAAATAAAAGCACATCACAATCAAGGCACAATCTGTGCAATCGCTCATCAAACACTGTGTATTCCAGGGGCTATCTGCAGTAAATAGATTGAATCTCTGCACATGGATTGCAATGCAAATATTGTACATGAAAAGCGTTCCACTGAGGTATATGAAAACACTATCTCCCTTTCTGTGACACACACACAGTACAAACATTAGAGTGCAGCAGATTCATTCATAATAACAGCACACAAAGAGACATTAAGTACACAACTGCTTTCTTGTAGCCAGTCTTGTTTCAGCTTTCTTACCTCATCAACAGCCCGCTCTGCTGCAGCCTCTTTAAACATATATGCTGCATGCCTGCAGTCTCTCGCTGCGTAGCACTCCGTGTCCTCTCATACTCACTGTGCTGTGCCCCTCTTCTCTCCATCAGGCAGTCGACAAATGGGACAGACCCCACCTCCTGGAGACACCCCCCACTGTCTCTCACTCTGCTGCTGCACTGAACTGACAGTGAGTTTGACTGTTTGCACGACCCCATTCTCCTAAATGGGAGGCATCATCCACACCACACTCGGTATCATCTCTTTTGTAGCTGCACAGGAACCTTACTGCTGTTTCTGTTCCCCACATTCCATTAAACACATCCCTCTGGTGTGTATGATGCACAGTTTGTGATGTTTAGTATGTGAAGAGAAGAGAAGAACAGGAAAGGAAAGAAAAGAAAAAAGGAAAAGAAGGAGAAAAAAAGGAAAATGCATAAATATGTCAAAGGGGCCAAAGCACGCTAATAAACCAACAAACAGGCTGTACCCTGCACTGAACTAATCAGAGCTACAGATCAATACATGCTATTGACTGTAATTTACAACTCATGCTGTGCCCTTCTTCTTAAAGTAGACATCACAGTTTGAAACATGTCATGAACAGTAGAAGAAGCAGAACATTGTCTTTGAATAGCATACATGCATAATGCATTATAGTTACTTCTATGCTATATACGTACAGTACCTCTGAAACAAGTGAATGCACTATTTAACAAAGAATTACAAACCTTAAGTCCCTAATTTGTACTCGTGACCTTGTCACCATGTCAATTATTGTTGCAAGAGCCTTTGACATGAACGATCTCTCTCTGATGGTGCCATGTTACTCCATTCTTTATTTTCCTCCTCCCAGTGTTATCAAAACTGTCCATGTGTGCTGTTTTTACCCAATGGGGGAAATCCAGTAGCCTCATGGCCTAATTCAATTCCCAAGGATGGTTCTAAAATAGACACTGATCCACATAGTGGATGCATTTAGAGTCACAGAGTCTGAAGCACAGTCAGGCTTATATACTGTCTCTGCCTGGTTGATGTAAGGATCTGAAAAGTTGTGCTTTAAACTCTCCACTGACCATTGCTGAATTGGCAAGGCAAAGGGTTTCTCAAGCCAGGTTAATTACTGTTGCGTGAGCATTCTGGCAAATGCACATTGGCTCTTCTTCTATCCAAACAATGTTGATAAATATGGATCAAACTGCATCCCAAATAAATCTGCCAAACATATTTAGCACAAAACACAAAGACATAAAGGCTGGTTCTGCATGCCAATAATAATGTTGGCTGTGACAGAAAATACCACAGCCAATGATGAAGAGAGCAGTTTACCAGCTGTCTCCTAAATTTCATCTTGCCTTCGCACAAGCGTCTGCTTGCAGGATAAAATAATGCCTATGCTCATTACAATGAGATTCAGAGGCACATAAACACAGATTGAAAGCCAGCGAGGGCTGTTTCAGATCATTTAGACAGTCAGTTAGTGATGAAGATAGGAACTTCCCGAGGGCTGTGGTTAACTCACTGTCTGATGAGGACACAGGAAAGCACCAACCCAGCCGTAACTAAAGGGACTGGAAAGGAACAATGACAGGCCAAACATATGAGCTCAGAGAGGGACACGGCCAAATTATTGCCGCCTCACACTTGCTATCCTAATTCATTGGGCAACTGGTTTCTGTTTAGACAAGTCATCCTCCAACAAGACAAAGTCAGCAGGGACTGGGGTCCAGCTGGGAATGTGGACAGTCAGGACAAGACACAGAAACAAAGCTGCATAAGCAAGGAGGATAAAAACAAGCCATGGCCCTGGTTAGGATAAAGGGTGTGGATAAGCTAAAGTTACATGCTGTATATCGAGAACAGAGATAGATAGTGAGGACACATACAATTAAACATAACAAACATAATTCCTTGTAAATTTTATCCCCAAATTTAAGCCTACATGTTTATTAATTTTAAGGGATAAGGGGTTAACATAGACAAAATCACAGCCACAGTCAAATGAAATAGCCTATGTCAATATGTATGGACAAATACTGATAGACCAAATCAACATGAAAACAAATACCAAAACGTGGGCCTTTGATAAAGTCACCATAAACTCATTAGGCACTGTATAATCCTTGAAAGTTATGTGATCTTGATGTTTCTGTTAGGGAATACAGGGCTATTTCACTACCTTTTAAGTTTGTGTTTAGTGAGTAGTAGCCTATTGTGGATAGATAAAGATAGGCCTACACAGCCTAGAGGGATTTTCAACAACTCAGGAGCCAAACCCCATTGCAGAATGGCACACTGTGATTAGCAGTAGGCTATTACACAAGATTAAATAACGTTACTGGGTAACCTGTCAGACACGCTGGTGGCCTCCTACCATAAAACCTAACAAAGAAGAAGAAGAAAAGTGTTTTTAGCTTTTAGTTTGTTTGTTTGCGGAGCGCTTTTCGTCCGAAGGAGGGCAGCAGATCGCCTGAGATGCAACTAGCTGCAAATTGGAAACAATAGAGGAAGAAGGCGCGGGGAAGCTAGGAAATGCCGGAGCAGACTTGTTGATAGTTTCTGATTAACAGAGGCTCTGCTCTTATCTTTGTTAACTTAGCTGACCTTTATCCTCATTCAATAGAGCATAACTGGCAAAAAAACGACATCAGGTTAGTAAAACTTAACACCAGAAAGAATGAAGTTAGGGGCTTAACGTTATATATAACGTTACATCACGTTTAAAACAACCGTTGAGTTGACCTATGTGCTGGAACGTAACGTTACAAATGAAAGTGAACGACACAGCAGTAATTTAGCGAGTAAATGTCGTTACAAACAGTTTTAAGGTTGATGTAAAGTTAAATTAACGTTAGCGTTCTTCTAAATTATATCCAACGAAGGTTAAAGTGAAGGGCAACTGGACTTCATTTAACCTTCGTTGGATAACTATGACCTGGATGACTGAGAATCTTCATAGACTTCTAAATTATAGTTCATTTGGTATGTATGTAATATAATGTAATGTGTTATCTAAGAACGGGTAAAAACACCCCAGCAAAGAGTTATTCGGCTAACTTATCTGTGAAACATGTGTTTAACGTAATATTAAGGTTTGTAACGTTTATTAACGTGTAGGAGATATAATATTAAGTTAAACTAACTAGAATGTTGATCACAAGCTATCGTTAACTTACCTGTTCTCTTAACACATTGCCAAATCTAACGTTAATAGCTGGAACAAGTTAGGTGAGTTAAGGTGTTAAGGATCGTAGGTAGTGTTGCCAACTTTGTAACTATGAAATAAGGGACAAAAATTTACCTGCTGCAGCAGTACGGGTATGGTTTTGTGTGAGTTTACATTGTATTTGGCATAGCTAATCTCTTAATGAAATTTGGTAGGTTTAATAATAGCTTATGCCAACTTTTCAATTTAGTTTGGAGTGAGATTCAGAGGTCGTCTCATTTTAGTCCTTCTTTTTCATATTCCACCGCAGGGGTCAGAGTCATGACTCTTTAATCATAAGGACTTTTGTTTTAAAAGTTTAACAGCCACATGTATGTGTAGACGAAAAGCCAAGTCAATAATCATGGTCAGATCAGTGTGATCAAGATGCTTGCCAACCTGATTAGATATGATAGCCTTAATTTTCACCAAACCTAACCATGTATTGGGGAGTCTTACCCCACAGAATATATGTGTCAAACCAGAGACTGTATTTATTTTATTTTATTCTAGATAATGTATGGAATAGTAAAGTTCATAATAAACAAGAGCGTAGGTTTTCCTTTAGCAATGAAGGAGCCACTTAGAGTGGGGTCTGGTGGGGTCCCTCCCCCAGCAAATTTGCAGCATTAAACACTTAATTTCCTGCATTCTGCTGAAATTCCTGCCTATTCTGCATCAATTTATGGTGAAAATGTTTTTAGGTTATGTCAAGGGAATCACAAAACTGCTTCGATTAGCGCCGTTGAGTCAATCAGAATTCAGGAAAAAAGAGGATCAGTCCAAGTTAGGAACAATAGTTAGAAACATTTTTCTGTTTCCCTTGTTTGAGGCATTGGTGGCAAAAAGTAAAACACAGGCTCACCTTCAGTCAGGGATAGATTATTCAGGATAGAACAGTCTTTGGTCCTAAAACATTGATTGTGATTATCTCAGCGATCTCAGTCAAGAAACAACGCACGGTTTAGCTTAACAAAACAGTCAGTGCTGAAGTCCATGTTTGACAGTGTGATGTACTACGAGGCTTCACTTGCTGGTATTTTGTTCATTTCCACAGTAGCTGCATTTAACGTTACTTAGCGTACAGGCCTACAGAAACGCGAGATGGGGGCTGTGATTGGATGATGACAGGTATCGTGTCCAGTGTCAAAAAACGGGACAAGAGAAGTCATGTATGGACAGATCAATTAGGCCTAATATAAGGGACATCCCGGCTAATACGGGACAGTTGGCAACCCTAGTGGTAGGGTTATGGAAATTATCCAAGATATTTAGCTGTAAACAAACAAAAAGGAAGGCACGCCCATTGTTTATGATTTGTTGTGTTAATAATGTTTTATGAGCAAACGGTTGCTAATGCTGCTAGCTTCTTTGTCAATTGTCATTTTTTCGCCCACGTTTTTTTTTTTTCACTTGTCCCCTTGTTACTTCTCTTCTGCAGACACTCTTGTCTCACTTAATCTGCTGGGAAGCCTGACAGCAGCTGCTATGTTCGGCAGGACAGCCCTGAGCAGAGGCATTACTGCCCACCGCCTTAGTAAGAATGTCACTTTCTACATGAATGAATTAACACCTCCAGTCTCAGGATGTCGGGACCAAGACCACGAATACAACAAACCCCTTATGTTGATGTTGCCATGGTTGGGTTCCGTCGTCCCCAAGCTATGGCCAATACTGTGAAATCTACTTCCGCACAGGCTTGATGTGCTTGTAGTTGAGAGTGAGGTAAGGACAATGTAAATCAGTAAAGGAGTTGTGGATGCTCTTTCCCCAAGTTAGCGAACTGGTGTTAGCTGTATTCGTAGATACAGGGAACTGCTGTCATTTGGTATTATTTTGGTAATATGGATGCATTAAAATTGAGTATTATCTACAAAAAGTAAGGACATTTGTGTTTGGTAGATACTTTCTTTGTTGTAACAATGCTTCTTGGCAATAAATCGTGTACCACTGGAAAGCCTGATTATTCCTTTTAAATTATGCCATATTTGTGGGATGAGCAGCATGTTGACTGTTGTTTGGTGGATTGGATGATTAAAGTCTGAAGAAACAGACATATTGACAATTTAACATTTTATTCATTTAACAAACAGGAACATTAGTAGCATGTGGAAGAATAAGCTGTTGTGGCTGTGAATGGTTCTTTCAACAAAGAAATAATCTACCAAACAAGAACTTTGACTCTTCCATGGTGTGTTTTCAGTTTGTGAAAGTGAAAAACATTTTGGTCTCCTAAAAATGTCTTGTTCAGCGGTTGCTTTAACTAAAAGACACTCTAAGGAGTCGGGTGTTCATTTTTTCCAGTTAGTACATTTTCTTTTAAGCCTGTTTTTTTCCAATATTAGTTAACTCGAAATACGGATGCACCTTACTAACCAAGCTAGCTAGCTCCACACTCTCATCCAAAAATGGTCACTTCTAGTTCCTTTAAAAAAATCATTGTACCTTTGTTTTTTCCAGGTAAGGTAATTAAGACAGATCATAAAACCTCACTTCTAAATACCCAAACTCGGCCTTTTAACATACCATTTAAGGAATCTGAATTCACAATTCAGATGCCAATTTCAGAGATCCAAATATGTTTGCAACATGTGACACAGGTTTTAAAACTAAAAAAGAAGTCTGGGATACATTTATTTCAAATTCAACTTGTATAATCACATTGTTGTATTATACAACAGTTCATTTACTTAAATGTAATGATGTTTTCAATGATAAAATAACGACATTAATGACGTTTCTTTAAGGGAATTCAATCCATGTAATATATAATGTTATATCCCTGTGAGGGAATCTGTCAGTTATCTTTGAGATCTACAGCTTGCAGGCATAGTAAGCCCGGAGAAGAAGCAATCAAAAAAAAACTTGCCTTCCACCATATAAAGTTTGGGAGTATTTTGGACCCAACAATGTGATGCTCTGTAAGCGCTGCAAATTGGAAATGGCTTATCACAGCAGCACAACTGCTGTGCACGAAAACTTGAAGCAAAAGCATCCCGGAGCGCTTTGTCAAGACTACAGGAAGTCAGGACAGCAAATCCTGTTTACTTTTTGTCCCTATACAAGCATGGCATATTAGAATTATCAGTACAAGGAGTGTGTTTCTGTTTGTAGTAATACTGTAGTCCCCTGGACCCCCCCAATACAGTGAAACTGCATTTTTGAGTGGCCTTTTATTGTGGCCTGCGTAAGGCACACCCATGCAATGGCCATGCTGTCTGAACAACATCTTGATATGCCACATTTGTGAGGTGGATAGATTACCTTGGCAAAGGATAACATTAGTCTGTGTATCACAGCAATCCTGAATTTAAGGTCCAGTATTTTCAACATCTAATAAATAGGGTCTGTTGTTATTAGGAAATTATTAGGAACCTAAAAGACTAGGTTTAATTTTAAAATTTATCAACTAATCGAATAGATTATAGATTGATAAATTGCTTGGTATTAAAAATAATCGTTAGATCCTATTGACATCTACTGCTACTTGTTGTTACAATCGTTGTGCTGACATTATCAGGTAAAAGGTAAAGTTTATCCTATATACTTTACTCATAGTAGTGTGAGTTGACCTTGTTTTTGCGTCCATAACACAAAATAACATTTTATCTTAAGAGATAAGACAGAGCTCTTTCCTCTCGTAAAAAACAAAATGAAGTAGTCACCAGCGAGGGTCATAAAAGGCAAACACTGTCTACCTTTCTCTCACAATAGTAGTCTAGATATAGTCTAATAGTCTGGATAGGCTATAGTCTTAACATGTTTTAACAGGTTTGTTTGTTTGAATTTAATCTACATCAACATTTAATCTATTAAAAGCTGTAGAGAAAGATTTTTAAAATAAAAGTTTAAATATACTCACTGGATTAGACTTGGCGGTTAAAGTCATAGGTCTTTAAGTGAACTATGTCGTCTGATCTGTCAGATCGGGTTGATCCATATTTTCATCCAAAGTGTCCCCTACAGCTGAATAAATATTTTAAAAAAAATTCAATGTCACATTCACTAGGATCCCATTAGTGATTGCTTTTTTACACACAAACACACATTGAACTAACTCTGATCAGCTTCCTGGAACTTTAATTTGATTTACACACTATCTAGGGTCATGGTGATCATGTGTCATCATTTTGTTTGTTTTACACAAGGTGGCAGAGTTCCTGTGGCCTCGCTGGGGTCTGGCTCATGGAAAGAGGTTGCTGGAGTTGCTCCACAGTAAACGCTTTGTGTCCCGCCCACTCCTTGTCCATGCCTTCTCTATTGGGGGCTACACATTTGCCCAGCTGCTGGTACATGTGTCCCAGGATACACAGAATATCAGGCGCTCACGCAGAGGATTAAAGGCCAAGTCTATGATAGCTTGGTGGTGGGCTCTCTGGAGACGATGTCCGTAGGTCAGTATTAACACGGTTTAACACATTGATTCATTTTATTTCATAAGTACCCATTATGCAATATTGCACCGGCCAAATCCAAAATATATTTATACATTTTGGATATTTATAAATAGGAGTGAATCCTTTTTCAATTCAAATGAATAAAGTATGGTTTGTCTCCTCTCTGCCAGGTCTAGGTAAGACCATATTTCCCCGTTGGGAGATACTGGTAAAAGAGGTAAGCCTGTTATACTTTGGCATGTTCAGACGCCAAACGGTAGACTACTTTAACAGAGGCATTGATACGTTTAAGAACACGCCTGTCACCGCTCCTGCACTGTTCTTCTATTGCGAGAACGATTTGTTGAGCGACCCACGAGCTACGGAGGAATTGATTGATCAATGGCGGAAGCACGGGATTGACATCACGGCAAAGAAGTGGGAGGATTCAACACATGCAGGTCACCTCAAGAGGCACCAACAAGAGTATCTGACCACCCTACACGCGTTCCTCAACTCACTCAGCATCGCCCCGCTGAAGGCCAAGCTGTAATGTGCTGTCATTGCCATATTAGCGTGACTTAGGCTTATTGCTGTGTTTAATCTAAAAGATTTGTTTATATTATACATAATATACATTAATTTAACTTGTACACTAATTATAGTATTTGATGTAGGTGGACTGACAGTAAGTGCCATGAGAATACAGGTGCTGGTCATATAATTAGGATATCATCAAAAAGTTGATTTATTTCAGTAATTCCATTCAAAAAGTGAAACTGGATATTATATTCATTCATTACACACAGACTGATATATTTCAAATGTTTATTTCATTTAATTGTGATGATTAAAACTGACAAATGAAAATCCCAAATTCAGTATCTCTGAAAATTAGAATATTACTTAAGACCAATACAAAAAAAAGGATTTTTCGAAATGTTGGCCAACTGAAATGTATGAACATGAAAAGTATGAGCATGTACAGCACTCAATACTTAGTTGGGGCTCCTTTTGCCTGAATTACTGCAGCAATGCCGCGTGGCATGGAGTCGATCAGTCTGTGGCACGGCTCAGGTGTTATGAGAGCCCAGGTTGCTCTGATAGTGGCCTTCAGCATTGTTGGGTCTGGCGTATTGCATCTTCCTCTTCACAATACCCCATAGATTTTCTATAGGGTTAAGGTCAGGCGAGTTTGCTGGCCAATTAAGAACAGGGATACCATGGTCCTTAAACAAGGTACTGGTAGCTTTGGCACCAGGTGTCTTCAATATTGAACCTTTTCACAATATTCTAATTTTCTGAGATACTGATTTTGGGATTTTCATTAGTTGTCAGTTATAATCATTAAAATTAAAAGGAATGAACACTTGAAATATATCAGTCTGTGTGCAATGAATGTATACATTATACAAGTTTCACTTTTTGAATGGAATTACTGAGATAAATCAACTTTTTGATGATATATTATATTAATTATATGACCAGCACCTGTATATTCAATAAGACAAACACACATCTGTTTGAGTTGAAAGTAACTGTAAGTATGAGTCCATTAATGAAGAAACAATTAAAAGTAGAGTTTCTAGCCAAACAAACATCTTTAAGTTATCTTGAGTATACATATGCTCCAACCTGAAGAAAAAAAACTCTCCAAAGTGCTCTACTCCAAATCTGCATTGCTTAAATGTACCATTGCAAAGATGTAGTTTATGCTGAGATCCAGGAATATGTAAATCAGCTACATGATGTGAATTGTCATGTTTTTGTTAATTGCAATTTTATTTTGCCTCATGTTTAATTTCTGTTTAATAGAGTTCACACAGAAGACAATATTCATGAAGTATTTTACATTTGCTGTTACTGTAGGTGTGTCTTTCCTGGAAAAAATACTGTAGCACTTCTTCTTTACCCTTCGTTTCTCTGTTTATGAATTGTTTAGGCACAGTGGCCTCACAACTTGGAAGGAAGACGTATATATTGCCAGAAAGAATAGTTACAGTGTCTTCTCTATACTTCTATATACAAAACTCATCATTTATATTGTGAAGCAGAAAATGCAAGTTTGTTCTACTTTTTCTAAGCCAAAACACAATTTAATAACCGCACAACTTTTCATATGTACAGAAAACTCCAGGGACCATTGATTCTTTTGATGGTCTACCAGTGCTACGAAGGATATTTCTTCTTCGACAAGACATTCCACCATATTGGTGTTTGTTGGCGGTGCTGAGTAAAATGTACAATATCACCGTAATACATCCAGGAGTTCATATGGCTTCTAGAGAGACAGATGAGCCTTAGTGCTGAATCAAACAACCAAACTACCATGAAATAAGTTAGACTTGAAAACTCTTAATGTGTGTTTATAGTTAACTTGGAAATACCAGTTGTAACATTTTACGAATAATTGCAATGACTGTTGATGGTGGTTGTTAAACTTGAAATGGTGCCTCTGACACTATTGTGATCCTTTTGGTGCTCAAAACATGTCATGGATTTCTGATTTGTGCAATCACAACAGTTTACATTTCTTTTGCCTTGGAAATAAATGTGAAGGTATACTGTCTGAGGTGTGAACTTTAATTGGTTTACATTCAAAAATACATTTAAAAATGTAGAGTTATTATCTGCAGTTCTGCACAGCATCTAGACTTGCAGTAAAGTATTCTTTATTACAGCATATAACTATCATTGGACAGTGTATCAGTTGACGTCCCATCTTTAGTCTCTATTCTATTAGTTTATTCTATTATATATTATTTAGTCTATTTTAGCGCTGTGTCTGTCTACACAATTAAGTAAATATATGCATAAATAAATAATTAATTGGCGTTATTGCAATGTAAACCTCCGGGACGGCAGGCGGCGGCAAGGACCGGTTTTCTGCAAGTACAGTAAAGTAAAGTGTAGGCTTGAGACCGTTTCCGGTTACTTTCAAAGATGGCGGCGCCCTTATGTAAACATGCGACTTAATCTGGAAGCAAGTGGCGTTCACGTTAAACAGTTAAAAAGCACGTTTTCATTCGCGTGATATCGAGCAGTTTGACATTAACCTCCAATGCTGGTTTGTTAACAATTTCGACATCAGCTTGTGAGCTATTACCGAGCCAGGAAGGTAACATTAGCGAGCTAACGTTAGCTCGGCAGCAGACAGCCATGCCAGCGCAGACCATCTTCGTTGGTTCTCTACCAGCTTCAGCTTCAAATGAACGTTTAGAGGAGATATTCTCTGAAATTGGACCGGTGAAACAATGCTTCGTGGTCAGAGAAAAGGGTAAGGTTGTCACTGGCATTCATTTGGGGGTCTTCTCTTCTACTAAATACGTTGACGAGAAAATATACTAACGTTCTAACGTAACGTTAACTACTGCAAAGCTAACGTTACTCATTAAAACGTCGTACTGCGAGTAAAACATAAAGCTACAAACATTTAACCTATTCTCATTCATAATCCAGGCGCAGAAAAATGTCGGGGATTTGGATATGTCACATATTCAATGGAGGAAGATGCACAACGAGCCTTGACAGAAATAAAAGAATATGACGGACAGAGGCTTTCTCTGTCAGTGGCGAGGAAGAAAATGAAAGACAAAAGGAAAACAGGTGTGTAACAGGTGTAAAGGTACGCCGAGAAACAAGCAACTGGGATAGCTCTCACGCTGGGTCTACTTGATAACATTGCTCCTGTCTTTCATTTAGCACCCAAAGAGCCTGCTGCTGCTGCACCGAAGGAAACTGAGCAGAAATCCAAAGGCTTCAGGAAAAACACGTTGAAAGCTAGACTAATCATAAGGAACCTTAGTTTTAAGGTACAATCTGCAGCACCGACAAGGACAGTTTGGTCCTATATCTGAATTTCAGTAATACACATGCTGTAAAGTGGTCCACCTGTTGCTTGACCTGAACATGCTGTGTCTTGTGTTACAGTGCTCAGAAGATGATCTGAAGCAAGTTTGTGGAAAGTTTGGAAAAGTTCTCGAGACCAAAATCCCCCTCAAACCTGGTAAAAAATGGTTTAAATTCTTACTGCATGATTCCAAATAAGCACAGCACATTGAATTGTCACGTGCACCTTGAATCGATTGAGTGGTCATTTTATTATTATTTTTTCGTTCTCTGTGTAGATGGGAAGATGCGAGGATTTGCGTTTGTTCTTTTTAAAAATGTGTCCGAGGCAGCAAGAGCGCTCAATGCCTTGAACCTGAAGGAGATAAAAGGTTAGTTAGTGAGACACTGTTTATTGTTGACACCTCATTTGTTTGTATCATGTGGCTGCAGTTTAAATGTTTTTGTGTTATTCACAGGTCGGCAGGTAGCAGTAGACTGGGCTGTGCCTAAGGACAATATATTGCCACACAGCCATCCTCAAGTGCAGGTAATTGTCTTTTTGTGTTTTTATCTTCAAGGGTAAAACAACTATTCTCCTTTTATCATCCACTGCAAATTAAAAATGACAAGAAATCAGCTGTCTCATTGGAAACATCAAAATAAAGCCAATAATCATGAATGCTATTTTATTTACCTAACAGGAAATAAGAATACAGAGGAGGCAACTGCAAAACACTCTGACGCAGAGAGTGACACTGAAGACGAGGAAGAAGGAAAGGCACAAGCAGCACCTGAGAAGAAAAAGTATTAAACTCAAATATGTACACATCTTGTTAAAATGCTGCGAAGTGTTAATAACTGGTTAAGTTTGTGCCCGATCTTTTCACAGAGTCATTTCGAAACCAGCTGTGCAGCAAGTGGAGGAATCCCAATCAGATGATGAAGACGTTAGCGAGGAACAAGACAGTGAGGAGGAGGAGGAGGAGGAGGAGGAAGAAGAAGAAGAAGAAGAAGATGAAAAAGATGAGTCTCAGGAGGGAGGAGATGATGATGATAAAAGTAGCCTTGATTCAAATGATGATGAAGATGAGAGCGAGGATGAAGATGAGGATGACGACGAAGATCAATCAGGTATTCATTCTCTGCCTGTGTTTTTTTGTATATTTGTATGTAATTTAAACATTGTCTTTAATAATAATAATAATGTTTTGACTCTGCTTGTCTGCCACTTTTCTTTTTATCTCTAGCTCGAAAGAAGAAAACCTCAAAGAAACTTCTCCCTTCAGATGTGAAAGAGGGCAGAACAATTTTCATCAGGTTTGCAATTCTTCTCTTTTAATTCATCTTAAACCTGCTTGAATTGATCTTACTGTGCCCCAGAATATAATACTCATTTATTAACTTATGACCATCTTTGTTCGTCTCACTCCTTGATGATTTAGAAACCTGTCCTTTGACACAGAGGAAGAGGGTCTTGAGGAAATTCTCCTGAAGTATGGCGAGCTTAACTACATAAAGATTGTTCTCCACCCCGACACAGAACATTCAAAAGGTCTGTCAGCAGTGCTGGTGTGAAACACTCTTCTCTCTGTTGTTTGAGAAGGCCGGTTGATTAACTTATTTCAGGTTTGTTATTTTGCCAGGTTGTGCATTTGCTCAGTTTAAGACCAAAGAGGCTGCAGACAGATGCATAGCTGCATCGCAGGATGAGGCAGAGGTAATACGCAGTTTCATATGCATAAATTCTGAATAATTAACTTAAAAATATTCCCTGTATCTGCCTTTCAATGGCAGGTTAACATATGTTAATATGTCCTGTTTTGTGCAATGACTTGATGTTGCTGCTTTGTTTGTTAACTTTGGGTTATTTTATGCAGAATGGTGGCATCCGTGTAGATGGCAGAAAGCTTTACATTGTGGCAGCAGTGAGCAGGGAGGATGCCG